AGGCCAGCAGGGGAGGGCCATTGGGGGATCGGGCCTAAACCGGCAGTTGGACATCCCCCAAGGGGTCCTGGATTGGAGACGGTGCAGGCCAGGCTGAGGGACCACCATCCCCTGCCATGCACAAATTTTGTGCACCAGGCCTCTAGTATACTAATAAAGGGTAATATGTAAATTAGACTGGATGTGTTCTGGATGTTCTTCCTAACAAAGCTGGGGGTGTGGCCTGCAAACCATCTCAGGCCCCTCACCCAGGCCGGCCCTGCCCCAGCAGGAACCCCCACCCCAAATGAGGGCATGGCTGGCCTGCAAACTGTGCCAGGCCCCTCACCCAGGCTGGCCCCACCCCCCAGTGAGGACCCACCACCCTGATCTGGGGCCCCCTTCAGGGCATTCCAGCTGGCCCCCACCCATGCACCAGGCCTCTATCCTATATAACAAATTGGTATTATGCAAATTGACCCTAATAGCAGAACCACCAGAATGACCACTGCATCAGTCACTATGAGGTGCACTGACCACCTCTTGGTCCCTTTTCCCGGCTGGCAGGCTTTGATCGCCTGATGGCCACCTGCTGCAGGAGCGGGGCCGGCAAGAGGGTAGGAACAGCCAACCTCTGGATATCTTCCCCCCACTGTCAGGCACCGATCACCAATGGCAAATGGAGAACCAGGGCTGAGTGGTGGCGGAGGGGCAAGGCCGGCTTCGGGGCAGCTGGGGAAGATGGCCCTGATCACAGGCCAGGCCTAGGGACCATACCTGCACAAGAATTTCATGCGCCAGGCCTCTAGTATATATATATTATCTTAAGTTTTACATATGTCTCCTTTCTCCCCAATTGACTGCCCCAACCATTCTCACCCTGGGCAAGCCCCCACAGCCCTAGTGTCTGTGTCCATTGGTTATGCTAATATGCATGCATACAAGTCCTTTGGTTGCTCTCTAACCACCCCCCCTCCCCTGCCATTTGTCTATTTTTGTTCATCAAAGTATGTTGATCATTATATCCCACAAATGAGTGAGATCATGTGATATTTATCTTTCTCCGACTGGCTTATTTCGCTTAGCATAGCATTTTTAGATTTTTCACACAGAATAAATATCAAAGAGAAAACAGAGCCCAGGATTAAGTTATCATTGTTTATTGTAACAAATTCTGTATGAATTAATTACATGTTTAGGGATTCTGAATTAAATAATTATATTGGAAAATGTGTAATTCTGTGCTTGATGCTTTCCATATTTTTTTCCTTTCTCCTTTCATTCTAAGCTTACATATATTTTATATACTCCAAAGCCAATAAAATTGCCACTAACCCAAATAATTTTTTTATTTACTGGATAAAAAGAATCCTTTCAAGGGTCTTTTTGAAAATAGACTTAGAAGTTTTTCCAGGTATTATAAGATTTACAAAACAAAAGCTGCCAGAACATATGAAATTCTGGACGTAAGGTTTATACTGGGTATAGGGATCATGCAGGTGAGCAAAAAAGGATTCCAGAAGCTAGAGATGAAAAGCTTTTAGAAATCAGGGAATGCCTCTCCATTCTCTTGTCTTGGAATTGAAGACATACACCCGAGTTTCTACTCACTGGACTATCAATTAACCCAATTATATAAGAAGTCTTTTAAAAGTGTTAAATGTTGAAAAACTCAATACTCCACAAATATTTGCTCTTATTTTTTATTTTAAAAAAAGTAGAAAAAGAGATGACAAGACTTTCAAATTATATATTCATGTGTTTATCAGTGTATAGGCCACATGTTTTATGCTGCTCTGAGGTACCATTGAATAGACTAACAGTAGGTACTATTTTTTTTTTCATTCTCTCAGTGTATGTTTATGCATGTTGGTTTGGAAATATAAACACATTAAAAAAATGTGTGGGGGGCTGAGGAGGAAATGTGGTAGTAAACAGTTGCTCAAATACATTTTTAAGAACTTAATTGCAGAGTTGACACAATATGTTTAACCTAATGTGAATAGTTCCTTCTTCACAGGAGGCTTCATGGAGACTGAAGCTGCGGCTCAGGAGTCCCTGGGGTTAGGCAAACTTGGAACTCAAGCCGAGAAGGATAGAAGACTGAAGAAAAAGTAGGTTTGGAGATTTTTCCCCTCCTTTTTTAAACTTTAATTTACACTTTGTCATTGCTTATAGGGAATTTAAAAAGAGACTAGTTGGAAGAAAACAACCGACTTGGGCGGATATTGCCCTGGTATTTCCTAAAACTATTCAGTGCTCGAGTTTCCTTGTTCTAATAGGCTAGAGTTTGAAATAACATTTCTCTAAATATAGTTATTTCAAAACACAAGTATATTAAAATCTTTAAATGCAGCCTTACAAATAATGTAATAGTCTGATGTGACATTCAGTACTGTACTGTATTAGTATGACAAAATGAGAGAGCATGCCATTCATCTTTGTGTTTCTTCTCATGACAAAGTATCTCCTCTTAAAATGGAATATTTAAAAGGAGAAATTCCTCTGAGTGATTGAATATAAACTAATTTTAGACTCACAGCAGATTGTTTTGCATCTGTCAGGAAACTGATAGTGTATCTTTTCATTCACATATAATATGGAACATTTAAGTAACTTGCAGAATTGGCAAATTTTGAGTCCCACCAGCTATTGGAAAGCAAGTGGATCCATAAATAGGATTTTTTGAATACATAATAACATTTTCAGTGAGGAAATAGCACCTTTAGAATATATTTTTAAAAGCTAAAGAATTTCTCTTTATTCCAGAATCTATTGGCTGGTTACTCCTCAACTGTTCATGGCTCTAGTCATCATTGTAGCAGAGATTCTAACATAGATGCTCTCATGGTTATAGCATTCAGACTAATCAGCTTACTTCTTATGTTGCCAGCTCACTTGCATTGCAGATGTTTACTAATAAGGAGGAGATATGTACTTACAAGTTGCAGAACAACTCACTAGCCAAGTTGTTTCATTAATTTACTACTTATGAAAATTAGGTATTTATCCAAATTCAGTAGAAATACTGTGCAGAAAATAAAAGTAACATTGAAAACGTACTTTTAAAATACAATGAAATGTTCAGTAGCATTCCATACTAGCAAACATTTTCTTTAATTCATTATACCTCAAAATATATATTTAAGCACTACCATAATGTGCTTGAAATCTCTTAATTTTATTTATTCCTATCAAGGATTGTTATATTCAATTTTATGGTTATATATTGAGAGAGAGAAATTAAAAATCTTCTTTGATAGATTCTTTAAAATTTATTTCAAGTCTAAAGGATTTTTAATTTTATTCTCTGAAAATTACTTTACATCTAAAGGAATAAGAGTCAAAACCCAGTCTGTCTAATAGACTTGGTTTACTTCTCTTAAAAGTTATTTTTTGCCCTAGCCAGTTTTGCTCAGTGGATAGAGCATCAGCCTATGGACCTAAGGGTCCCAGGTTTGATTCCAGTCAAGGGCACATGCCTGGGTTGTGGGCTCGGTCCAACGTACAGGAGGCAGCCAATCAATGATTCCCTCTCATCATTGATGTTTCTATCTCTCTCTTCCTCTCCCTTCCTTTTTGAAATCAATGAAGGTATATATTTTTTAAAAAATTATTTTTTATTTTTCCCTCAATGAAATATTTACATACAATGGCAACCTGGCCACCTTTCACATTGCAAACAAGGCTGATATTGAGGCATGCATTACATAGTTCATTGTTTTTTTATGGGACCAAGTTAAATGTCTCTTTTGATGGCTGCTAAAGTTAAATATCCCAATTATACAATGATCTTAAAGTATTTATTATTATTAGCTATTATTAACTTTACATACTGTTGGATTGATTAGATATTCATGTTATGGAATTATTTTTCAAATCCTACATAACCTCATAGGCAGAAACTGATTTTAGTTCTGGATTGAGTTTGAAAATATTACTATGCTTGACTTTTGAGTTTATTTTGCAATATGTTTAGGCAAAATATGATTTTAAAATATATTAAATAGAATACTTGTCACTAATATAAGAATAATATTGAAAGCATTATTTAATATAATACAAGCTAACATTTATTAGTTAATTATTTTCTATAGAATAATAGTACTTGGATTAAAGTGAATCCAACGAAGTTAATTAATGGAAGAGAGTATTTCTTTTATTATTGTTTATCCCATAGTAAGAACCCTCTGACCATAAATATATAACCAGGATGTGTGAGATGTATATATAGTGCTAACACTTATTCAGGACTTGCATGACACTATACTGTGGTTTCTGGGTTACTAAAGGGTGAAGTGTTTTCATGTGATGAGTTATATAAGATAGACAAGATAAATTATTCTTAAATTTTCTAAAGTATTTAAAATTTTATTGAAACAATTCAATTTTTCCTTTTTTCTAAAGATACCTTATCCTCTTTAAATGTGTTTCAAGGAATACAATTTTCTGTGTTAAATTTTCATGTGCATTAATCTTCTTTCAGGATGGAAAATAAGTCAAGTACATTTTATTAGAAAGATAAACAAACCCATAAAATGGAACAACTTCTTTCAAAAAGTTGAACACTATGAGTTGTGCATTTTAGTTGCTATGACCATGGTTTCCTACCATTTTTTTTATTCTAGTCTTTGGCCAAAAAAGTAATGTTTCCAGAACAAAGTACTTTGATCAATATTCACTGTCCCAATGTTGACATCAGAGATTCATTAGTCTCTGAAGGAATTGGCAGACCTGGAGAAAATTTTTATTTTTAACTTTCCTAGGACATCAGGTATTTAAAATGGACAGTCTGTGATTCTTAATTTAATTGGGAATAATTTTCTTTAAAGTTGTTAGTTATGGCACATTTTTAAAAACCATACGTTCATAGAGCAATATTCAAGACATTCTGAATTTTTGCAAAGTTCAGAAATTTGTAATGTTGCCAGTCCCAAAAGAAAAGTCTAATTTGAGGTACATTTACCATCCAGCAAACTGAACACACAAGATTTAGAACCAGCTTACTAGATCTGTGTTCCTGCTTTATTATAGTTTAACTTTTCTTTCTGGTACAGGCATTTGTTTTTCTTATGTTTCTAGCTGTTGTCCTATGATGAGAAATAGAAAATCAACAATACTGGATCTGCTAAAGCACCCACTATTCAAAAACATCTTATCAACCTTCACCTTTCTGAGCTGGGTATGATCATGCAGGTGCTATTCTTTCATCAGAACATCTAACCTAGCCTAAGTCAATCTATTATTATTCTTAAGGTTCACATTTACTATGCCTTATTTCTGCTATACTTTCCTTTAAAACTTAAATTCCTTAATTTTTTTCCAGCAGGTTTGTGTGGAGTGCTGCTAATACCAATAATGATTGTGTCAAACTGACAGTACAGCTTTGAGTACTTTACATTAATTTTTCTGGCCTTCACCCTTAAAATTTGTCCTATTTTTCTGTAGCCCACATGGTATAGCTCCTAATCTTTAAGGATTTAGTCACTTATTATTCTTATTATAGATCTTGGTATTAAAAATATGATTTCTCACAATTTTCTTGATGTCAAGTCCCTCTGGAGGGTCACTACTCTCTGAGATCTTGTCCATCAGCTTCAGTTTGATTTAATTGGACTACAAGCACTTTTCTGATTTAACACAAACTAAACATCTCCTTTATTTCTGAGGCTCACATTACAAACAACTGGACCTAAGAACTTGTCCTCTTTCTTTATATACCTGTCACCCGATCTTCAAGAATGTATTTCCCTTTTTTAGCTCTTCAGCAATGTTTTAGGCTAACACCTAAAGTTACTTGTTCAAGCTGGTCAACCACAGCTACAAAAAATAACTGCATGACATAATAGGCCCTACTGTAGGGCCAGAAACTTACATGGTCTGGCACATCAAAAACCTCAATTTCTGAATGTTCTTTGACTGCATGAATTCCTGAATTTCACTTAGAATATAGATGTGGTATTTTAGGACTCAGAAAATGGAAGCTCTGCTCTTTGACTAAAGTTTAGAATCTATTTGATGCTAGACAAAAGAGTCAGACAATTAGAGACCACAATGCCAGCTTTATTGCTGACAGAGCTGTTAGAACATGACTTAAGTATATGGGGAAAAAGAGGGTTTTCTAAAACTGAATCCCCAAATTTGATAAACTTACCTGACACAGAAAGAGTCACAGGCTTCCAAAATGCACAAGTGTGGCCCCACGCCTCCTTCAGAATAGCATCTACAATATCCCGAGTCCATCAATATGTTAATCTGGAATCAAGGACCATAAACTCACAAGGAAGGAGATGAAATGTTACGTCATTAGCATCTTTGCCTGAAGAAGAATTTTTTGAAATACCAATGTCAAATGTGTTTGTATTAATGTCTCACCAGATTTCTTACCTTACTGTTCTCTCCTGGAATATATTTAACTGCCAATTACCCATATCACCTCTCTGGGAATGTGATGATAGGGTGTGTGGCAAACTCCCTAAATACTTAGAGTTCTGAAAATATATTATACATCTAAAATTAGTTGATAATTGCCCAAACTGTAAAACTATTGATTTAAAATAATTTTCCCTCAAAACTTTGAAAGTATTACTCTTCCTGCTTCCAGTTTTGCCCACTGTCAATTGCTTGTCATTCTTTCATATTTAACATGTAGGGTTTCTTTATACACTCTCTCTCTCTCTCTCTCTCTCTCTCTGAAAGTTTAAGATTTTTCTCTTTATCTTTGGGGTTCAGAAATGTTATAAGTATGTTTATAATCAAATGTTTTTTATGTTTCATTTTATACTTTATACTTTTAATCTGAAGATTTGTTAGACTGGACTATCCTACACATATTGACCTAAATGACTTTTATTTCTAGATTCAACTTTATTTCCAAGAAACTAATTTTTACAGATACTATGGCATTGAAGATGAAGTTGTCTGTTTCAGTAGCATTGCACCTGCCTAGCACTCAGGAAAGTCCTTGACAGGCAGTGAACACATTAAAATTCATGTATATCCAGTAGATGGTTACTTATCTCCAGAAATATAAATTCTGAACATTTTATATCAATTTTTTATCTGCTATCATTTCCCCTTATATTTTAACACTGTACAATTTTTTGCTAAAACA